ACAGAAAGCAAGATGTCACCCCCATGGGGGGCGGGGGGGGGGCTGGCCATGCCGCAATCCCTTCTCCTCCATTCTCCTCTTGGGATCTTGAGCATGCATGCATACGTGCCTGGTGTGAGTTTAAGCCCCTGAGTCCAGGACTCAAACAATGATCGACAGTGTGGGAGTCCAGCAATATAGCCATTATGCCAACTGCTAGTCCCCACAAAATAAATCTGAATAAAGCTCAAATATAGACATCTTATGGACTATGTCCTTGACTACAATGGAATTAAATCAGATAGCAACAATAAGATATCTAGAAAATCTAAAATACTTAGGCACTACACCAGATAATTCTAAATATCTTAAGAGCCAAAAGAAAAAAGTAAAATTAGAAAATATCTCTAAAAGCAAAACTGCCTTTCAAACAAGAAGAAAAAAATGATACAGCAAAATTTGTGGAAAGAAGGCAAAGCAGTGATTAAAGAGAAATATTATTAGATTTGAGATTTTATACATTAAAATAAACAGATTAAATAAATAATCTTTTTCTGGGCCTGCCACATAATCTAGTGGTAAAGAGAACCAGATTCCAAGTGGCTGACAATGGTTTGAATACTGGCCCCAGGAGCTTGAAAAACATACAGTGCATGTATGCATGTGTATCCCAAATCCCTACAATATACAAAAATGGAGTAGAAGGAATTGTGGCATGACCATGCTGAACTGGAGGGATACTTTCTCCCTCTCTCTCTCTGGAGAATACATGTGCCCGATGGCAATTAAGAAAAAGAAAGAAAGAAAAAAAAAATCTAAGTTTTTTACAATTTCTTTTTTTTTTTGGAGAGGTTTTTGCTTTAGGGCATGTGTGGTCGCCAGAAAGACAGAGAGAGACAGAGAAATAGAAAACGAGAAATCACCACCCCCCTCCGGGGGGGAATGGTCACGCAGCAATCCCTTCTCCTCCATTCTCCTCTCAGGATCTTGGGAACGCACGCACATGCGCCCAGCATGAGTTTAAACCACCAGGTCCAGGACTCGAACTGTGGTCAGCTACATGGGAGTTCAACGACATAACCATTACTCTAACAGCTGGTCTCAGAAAATCTAAGTTTTTAACTTCAGAAAAAGAAGAGAAAAACTCAAAGTATAAAATGACAAAAAGAAAAAGAGAAGAAATCATTGATGGGACCAGCAGTTGGCATAATGGCTATACCATTGGACTCCCATGTAGTCAATCGCAGTTTGACTACATGAGAGTTTAAGCCACCGGGAGTTTAAACTCATGCTAGGCGTATGTGTGTGCGTGCCCAAGACCCAAGAGAAGGGATTGCGGCATGGCCATCCCCTCTGGGGGGTGATTTCTCACTTTCTGTCTCTCTGTCTTTCTTGTGAGCACACATGCCCTATAGCAAAAACCTCTCAAAAAAAAAAAAAAAATTAATGAAATAGGAAACAAAAGATTAACAACAAAGCAAAAATTTGGTTCTGTGAAAAGATTAATTTATTTATTAATATAATACATCTCTAGCAAAAATGATCAAAAACAATGAGATAAAATAAATAACAAATATTAGGAATGAAAAAATGAGCCAACACTACAGATCCTAAAACAAAGTAAAAGGAAACAAGGTATGTAGATTTTTATCATGTTAACTGAAGAGAAGCTGGAGTTTCATTTCTCAGAATTCTCTTCATTGCATGCCTCTGGGTTTATGTGGATCATAATGAGTCATTATGTGTGAGATTTGAAAGGTAGACATAAATCAGTTCAGAGAGTTGGTATGCACTATCACTAATCTATTGGTTCAGCTTGTTAGTGTGAGGCAGCACTTATGCCTCCTGCTCTTCCTGGTGCCTGCCATATTTCCTTATTTAGCTATTTTGACTTCTAAGTCAAGTATACATCTAACCAGTTTCTTCTATTGAAAACCCCAGTCATCAAAATTCAAGTCTTAGAGAAAATGAGAGCCGAATATTATTTCCTATTTATCTTCCTGGTTCCAGTTCACCCTATAGGTCACAGTTTCTCCTTATTGCTTTCACTTCACATTCATCTTCTCTTCCTGAGTACCTTTCCTACAGACTTCAAGTTTCAGAACTAGACGTGAAATCAATAGCCTCACGTAAAATGTTTGCCAGTTTTAGTGGGTAGCTATACACATATTAGGTTAAATCCAAACAAATTATACAACTTAGAAGAAATGGATAAATTCTTTAAAAGACATAAGGTACTGAAGCTTACTTGAGAAGAAAGAAATAATTTGCATAGATGGCTCTGTAACTATTTTTTTAATCAATTGAACAGATTAGTGTTCAGAAATACACCCACATGTATAGAACAAAATAATTTTGAACCAAGATGTCAAAGTAATTCAATGGAAAAAGAAAAGTCCTTTCAACAAATGATGCTAGAACTGAATGTACATATAAAAAATGGTGAAATCCATTCCCCACCTGATATACATACACAAAGAAAGTTAATTCAAGAGAAATTTCAGATCTAAATAAAGTTTTTAAAAGAAAATACAGAAGAAAAACCTTGTAGCAGTTGGATAAGCAAAGATTTAAGACACAAAAGTACTGTCTATAATAGAAAATCTTGACAAGAGGGTATTTATTTTTATTTTTATTTATTTATTATTTTAGAGAGATTTTTGCTATAGGGCACAGGCACTCGCTGAAGAGACAGAGAGAGACAGAAAGTAAGGAATCACCCCCTTCCCCAGGGGGATGGCCATACTACAATCCCTTCTCCTCCTTCATTCTCCTCTTGGGATTTTGGGCATGCACGTGCACACACCTGGCATGAGTTTCAAGTAGCTGGGTCCGGGACTCAAACTGCAGTTGACTATGTGGGAGTCCAGTGACATAACCATTATGATATCTGCTGGTCTTGGCAAGAGGGTATTATTAAAATTAAAAACTTCTGACTATCAAAAGAAAATTGAAAGGTAAACCACAAACTGGAAGAAAGTACAATGTATTTATCTGACCAAAGAGCTTATATAAAGCATTAATAAAACAATAAATAACCTAACCCAATTAAAAGCTAGATAAAAGATTTGAAAAGATAATACAAGAACATATACCAATGACCGATAACCACATGGAAAGGTGCTCAATATCGTAAGTCATCAGAAAAATGCAAATTAAAACCAGGGGATACCATTTCACCCCATTTAACTAAACTATATATATATTTTTAAAGAATTATTTTATTTAACTTTACTTATTTAATTTCACTCTGCCCAGGGACAGAGAGAGAGAGAGAGAGAGAGAGAGGGCAAGCCACCAGGTCCAGGACTCAAACCATGGTCAGCCATGTGGGAGTCCAACGCCCTTAACCACCACACCACCTGCTGGCCCCTTGACTAAAATATTAACAATAACAAATATTGGCAAGAATTGTGGCAATGCTAGAATTCTCATTTATTGATGGTAAGAATATAAAATGGTACAACCACTCTGGAAAATAGTTTGAGTATTTCTTATAAAGTTAAATATATATCTACCCTATGAAACATTTATTCTATTCTTATTATATTACCCAAGAGAATTAAAAATATTAATACATAAGCTTTATACAAGAGGTTTATAGCTGTATTCATATATAGCTAAATATTAGAACTAATTTAAATGTGCATCAACAGAATAAATACTAAGAACAAACTACTACTACATGTAGTCCAAGGAATGTATCTCAAAATCATTATACAGAGTCAAAGTAACCAGAAACAGAGTACATGCTGCCATGATTCTATCTACACGAAGTTTAACAAGAGTCAAAAACTAATCCATGGTGACTGAAAACCAGGTAAACTAAATGCCTCATGGAGGCTGGATTATCTAGTGAGAAGGAAACTTTCTGGGACCCCACTGACACATGTGCATGTGTGCCCGAAATCCAGAAATGGAGAAGGGACTGTAGTGTGAGCATACCCCATGGGGAGGTGTTTTTCCCTTTCCCTCCTTCTCCTTGAAGAGTGCATGCACACACTGGCAACTTAAAAAACAAAAAAATACTTTCCAGGGTAATATAAGTGCCCTGCATCTTGATTAGGGTATTTAACATTTGTCAAACTCATAAAATTATTCACTTAAGGTATGTACATTTCACTATATGTAAATTTTATCCAAAATAAAAATGAAAAATAAACCTCAGAAATTTCAACATTAACAGGATGACATTATACTTTCCAAAGCAGTAATTTTTTTAAAAGAGTTTTCTTTTTTCATTTTACTCACCCATTCATTCATTCATTTATTGTAGAGGTTTTTGCTATAGGCGCGTGCGCTCACCAGAAATACAGAGAGAGACAGAGAGACAAAAAGTGAGAAATCACCCCCCAGGGGGGATAGCCACACCACAATGCCGTCTCCTCCTTTCTCCTCTCGGGATCTTGGGCACACACACACATGCGCCCAGTGTGAATTTAAGCCACTGGGTCCAGAGCTCCAACTGCGGTTGATTACATGGAAGTTCAGCGACATAGCCATTATGCTAACTGCTGGTCACACTCATTTATTTATTTTAATTTGACCAGAGAGGATCAGGGCAAGAGAGTAAGAGTGAATAAGAGAGAGAGAGAAAGAGAGAGAAAAAAAGCAAGAAAGCAAGCTGCCAGGTTCAGGACTTGAACTGCAGTAGGCCATGTGGGAGTCCAGCACCCTTAACCTCCATGCCACCTGCTGGCCCCCAAAGTGGTATATTTTTAAAAGATCCAAAGAGAACTTTGTTTTAATCACTGAATAAGATTTAATAAAAATTCTTCAAAGTTTAAAACAAGGAATAAAAGTAAAAACTTAAAAAGTGCTATCAAATTTATTAACATGAATATGGTTCTAAGACTTTCTCTAAAATGTGAGGAACTTCAGTACAACACTGTGGTCTGTTTCCATCTACCAAGAATTGGTTTTGTGATGCTACAAACTTCTTTAAGCAGAATGACATGGAAAACAGAGAAAGGTAACATATAGTAACAGAAAGCTCAAAATATAGAAGGCAGGCATCATACCTGTTGGAAGAGGTATATATATCCTTTTTTCTAATCTCCTTCGCAAAGCTTCATCAATGTCCCATGGAAAATTTGTAGCAGCCAATACCATAACCATTTTGGAAGGATCATCATTTTCTAAAGCTCCTCCAACTCCTATACACAGTAAGGGAGGGAAAGATAGTATTTTGTTTTGCCCTGTGGTTTTCATTCAATTAGCATTTCTAAATGTTAGTCACATTGCTTAGAGATAAGATCAATGATAAAAATATTGCATTCCTTCCAATCTCTATATGATAGGAAAATCAGCTACATCAATAGAAAACTCAAAATAAGGAAGTAGAAGAATCTATATAATCTACTGCAGGGTTCTAACCCAATAAGAAATACCAATTTTTCAGTAAGAATATGAATATATATTTCCCCTGACAAGGAATGGGAAAATAGGCTATTTAATTAATTTATCTTTTCTTTAATCACAGAGTTCCTGAAAAATATGTTTTACTGTATAGTCTAATTTATTTGATTTTTCCCAAAAAGAACAGAAGTTTGTATTTATTTAATATAGTAGCATGCAATCATAATTTTAAAAGATGGATTATATTGTAATAATTTTGTCCTTCAAATTTCAAGAGATTTGTAAAACATCTTTTTTAAAAAAAATTAAGAACATGGGGCTGGCAGGTGGCATGGTGATTAAGGTGATGGACTCCCATATGGCTGACTATAGCTCAAGTTCTGGACCTGGTGACTTGTTTTCTCAGTTTCCCTCTTTCTGTTTCTGTCTGGCCACATTAAAAAGTAATAGTAATTGGGACCAGCAGTTGGTGTAATGGCTATGTCACTGGACTCCCATGTAGTCAACCGTGGTTCGAGTCCCAGATCTGGTGGCTTAAATTCACGCCATGTGCATATGTGTGCATGCTCAATATCCCGAGAGGAGGGACCAACAGTTAGCATAATGGCTATGTCGCTGGACTCCCACATAGTTGACTGCGGTTCGCATCCCGGACCTGGTGGCTTAAAACTCACGCCAGGCGCATGTGCGTGTGTGCTCAAGATCCCGAGAGGAGAATGGAGGAGAAGAGATTGCGGCATGGCCATCCCCCCCCTGCCCCCCAGGAGGGATTTCTCACTGTCTGTCTCTCTGTCTCTCTTTGTCTGGCGAGCGCACGCGCCCAATAGCAAAAACCTCTCCAAAAAAAGAAAAAAGTAATAGTAATGAATAAAATTAAATAATTATTTTTTAAATTAAGAATAAATCTAATAATCAATCACCAATGAAGATACTATTTCTTTTTGTAATTAAATTATATATACGTACATAGAGTCTATGTTTTCTTTTAAACCAATGATTTATTTATATTTAGTTTTTGTTGTTGTTGTTGTTTGCCATAGGGTATTTATGCTCACTAGAAAGAGACAGACTGACAAAGGAAGTGAGAAATCACTGTCCACAGAGAACAGCCAGCCATGCTACAATTCCTTCCCCATTCTCAGGATTTTGGGCACACATACACCTGTGCCCAGGGCAATCTTCAAGTCATTGAGTCCGGGGCTTGAACTGTGGTTGGCCATGTGGAAATTCAGAGCCCTAATCTCCATGCCACCTGCTGGAGCCTTGAGTCTACTTTATCAAAATAAAAATTTTAGAATAAAAAATTTAGGTTATACAACAGAAACTCTGGAAAATATGTTGTAAAAAAAAATTTAGAAATACATAAAGTTTCTTGATAAGACTTCCCAGCCTATCATAACAAAGTAGTGGATTGAAAGTAATCTAGTTCGGGACGAGCAGTTAACGTAATGGCTATGTCGTTGAACTCCCACGTAGTCGACCGCGGTTTAAGTCCTGGACCCAGTGGCTTAAACTTACGCTGGGTGCATGTGTGTTTGTGCCCAAGATCCCAAGAGGAGAATGGAGGCTTGCACCGTGGCCCCCCCCCCCCCCCCGGGGGGGGGATGATTTCTCCCTTTCTATCTCTCTGGTGAGCACACGAGCCCTGTAGCAATAAACCTCTCCAAAAAAAGAAAAGAAAAAAAAGAGCAAGTAATCCAGTTCAATACGGTATTTTAAAATTTTGCTCTAGTATGAGAGAAAGGAGTGACTACGTTATATATGTTATATATATTATATTTTGGCACAAGATATAACATATATAACGTAGTCACTCCTTTCTCTCATACTAGAGCAAAATTTAAAATAGTAAACTCAGGTCTTGCTCTGTAACCTAGTAGTTAAGGGAACTACATCATACATGGCCAACCATGATTCAAATCCTGGTCCGAGTGTCTTTTTTTTTTTGTTTTCTTCTTTTTTTTTTTTGGAGAGATTTTCACTGTAGGGCGCGTGCGCTCACCAGACAGACAGAGAGAGACATAGAGACAGAAAGCGAGAAATCACCCCCCCAGGGGGGATGGTCACGCCGCAATCCCTTCTCCTCCATTCTCCTCTTGGGATCTTGGGCACGCACGCACACGCGCCCGGCATGAGTTTTAAGTCACCGGGTCCGGGACACGAACCGCGGTCGACTACGTGGGAGTCCAGCGACATAGCCATTACGCTAACTGCTGGTTCCCGTGGTCTGAGTGTCTTGAAAAACATGTCAGGCCCGTGTGTGTGTGTCTGTGTGTGTGTGTATGTGTACCCAAAATCCCAACAGGATGGAGAAATGGAGGAGACAGTATTATGGTGTGACCATGTCCCATTGGGAGGTGGTTTCTCTCCATCTCTTGCTCTGCCTCTTTGGCAAGTGTATGCATTCTCTTATCAATGAAAGCAACAGTAAACTCACCAAGGGAAGGCTCCAGTAGTACATTATTTTATGAATCTTATGGTGTCTAGTTCTATATACAACACACATTATAAGTATTCACTAAGCATGCATGGTTGGGATTAACCATGATTGTTCTGAAAAATACACTCTGGATATGTTTAAACACATCTTTTCTCATGGTTAAACAATCTCTTCTTTACCACACAACTGCCAGAGTAAGATAGCTCTAAACAGAAAGCTGAGCCCGTAACTTCTGTCCTTCTGTGGATGTTGCTGTGTGTGATTAACTCCTACCAATGCTTCAAAGCCCATGCATGCTGTTTCCTTCCATAACTCACTTAGTTTGGGTAGTACCTCTCCAATTGTGCTCTCACTATACCCAGAGTTTACTTCTATCACAGAACTTATTATAATGTATTTTAATATTTGTTCAGTTGCCTGACTCCCATCTAGATCTGTAGTTCCCAAACTTTTTGGTCTAAGGACCCTTTTGTACTCATAAAAATTACTGAGTGGGCCAGCAGTGGTGCAATGGTTAAGGAGCTACACTCCCACATGGGTGACCATGGTTCAAGTCTCAAACCTGGCAGCTTGCTCTCACACTTTCTCTGGTGAGTGCATGTATCCTACAGCAAAGTTTAACAACAACAACAATAATAATAAATAAAATTACAATAAATAACTTTAAAAATTACTGAGCTCCAAACAGCTTTTGTGTGTATGAAATATATAATATTTACCATCAGAAATTAAAACACAAGTTTTAAAATATTAATTTATTTTTAAATAAATCTATTGCTTAACATAAATTACATATTTTTTTAAAAAGTATTTTTTAAAACAAAAACATTAGTAAGAGTGGCATTTTTTCTACATTTTTGCAGATCTCTTTAATGTCTAACTAAGTAGAGATTTGCTAGACTCAAGTATCTGCTTTTGCTTTCCATCTTTTATATCTCACGTTTTATTGCCTTTGGAAAACTTTACTGCAGATTTGTGAGAGAATAACAGTAAAAAGGGCAAAAAGTATATTGATATTACTATGAAAATGGTTCAGACACTCCAGACCCTTTAACAGAGTTTCAAAGACTGCTAGGACTCTGGGGGGATCACCAGATGGCGTAATGGCTATATCGCTGGACTCATGTAGTCAACCATGGTTCGAGGCCCAGACCCAGTGCCTTAAACTCATGCCAGGAGCGTGTGTGTGCGTGTCCCAAGATCCCAAGAGAAGAATGGAGGAGAAGAGATTGTGGTGTGGCCATCCCCCTGGAGGGGGTCACTTCTTGCTTTCTGTCTCTCTGTCTTTCTGGCGAGCACACGCACCCTATAGCAAAAAACCTCGCAAAAAAAAAAAAAAGACTGCTAGGACTCTAGACTCTACTACTCCTAGAATCTTTGCTCTAAATAATAAATTCTGAGGGTTATCCAAGTTCTTTTTTTTCTTTTTTTTTTTAAGAGGCTTTTGCCTTAGGGCATGCACTTTGAGGGAAAGTGAGAAATCACCCCTGGGGGGATGGCCACTCTGCAATCCCTTCTCCATTCTCCTCTCAAGATCTTGGGCATACACACACATGCACTGGGTGAATTTCAAGCCTTCAGGTCTGGGACTCATACCGAAGTAAGCCATACAGAAGTCCTGTGATGCAATAACCGCTATGTCATCTGCTGGTCCCATATAAGTTCTTTTCTTTGTAACCTCAGAAAATGAAATGGTACGTGATGCATAACAAGTATACAATAAACATTTTTTGAATGCATGAACAAATGGGTAGATGAACAAATGACTAAAAAATAAATTCTGGCTGTATCCTTGTCCACTCAGTGAGAATTTCCAAAGCATTAGTCTACACAAAATTCAGAGAAGAAAGATTATTTTGATACAGTAATTAAACATCGATTACCATCCATCTGAATGAGTAGTTCAGACTTGACTCTGCGACTTGCCTCATGTTCATCAGAAGTTCCTCTTCGACTGCAGATAGAATCTATCTCATCAATGAAGATCGTGGTAGGGGCATAAAATCTAGCCTTTGTGAAAATATTAAAAAAAAATAATAACCAATGATCTCATTTAAAAAATCTTAATACCTAAAAAAAAGAAAAGCTATAATTTTTCTCCTTTTAAAACAACATGGAAGAGAGTAGTTCTCTGTTTCAATGTTCCCACTGGTTACTGACAGAGACTAACTCACTCATTCACATCAGAAAAAGGAAATTTAAAAAATGAGTTACAGGGTTGGTAAACTTGGGAGATAGATACATATAAATTCATTCTATTCTTTCTACTTTTGTGTTTGGAAATTTCCATAATAAACAAAATTTTAACAATCAAATCAAAATGCACTCTGAAGTAATTATTGAGCATCCCTAATCCAAAAAATTTCAAATCTTTCAAAGTTTGAAACTTTTTGAGTGATGACATACCACAAATGGAAAATTCCATGAACTTGATCTCATGAGACTGAGTTCCAGTCAAAACAGTGGATTACAAAAATATTGTACAAAATGATCTTGAGGCTATGTGTATAAGGCATATATAAAATATAAATGTGCTTAGACTTGAGTCCAATCCCTGAAATAACCTCATTTTGTAAATATTTCAAAATCAAAAAAAATTTAAAAATCTGAAACTTCTAATCCCAACCATTCTGGATAATGGATATTGGACCTATATTGCAAACCTCATATGAAAAAGTAACAAAGTTTAATGACAGATCAGTTTTTGAGTTTTATAATACATATTAAAATATTTTTTTGCACTATCAGCTCACTACAGATCCAGAAACACCAGTCAACACACAGCTTAAGGCTCTTCTACCCTTACTGAACAGGATACCAGAGGGAGGGATTTTACTGCAGAGAGGAAGTACATTAAAGACACACCAACCACCCCATAAAAACCCAACATCCCAGGACTTGTTCATGTGTCAAGGGCTATTAAAATACAATTACACTAAAAAAAAAAAAAAAAAAAAAAGGTCCTAGGTGAACAGAACCAGGTTACGGGGGCATCCTATGCCTACATAAACAGTACTCCGACATCTGAGTATGTCATCACTCACCATTTCAAACAACAGACGAACCAACTTCTCAGATTCACCTCTATATTTAGATGTCAGTGTGGAAGAGGAAACGTTGAAGAATGTTGTGCCACATTCAGTGGCAACTGCTTTAGCTAGCATAGTCTTACCAGTGCCTGGAGGTCCAACCATCAGCACACCCTGAAATTACAAGAGAGGAATTAAATCGTTTATCAGGTTAAAATTATTTTTTTAATAAGTTAACATCAACTATTAATCTACATGAAGATTTTTCCCATTAAAAGATAAACTCGAGGCCAGCAGGTGGTGTAGTGGTTAAGGGTGCTGGACGCCCATGTAGCCGACCATGGTTCGAGTCCTGGACCCAGAGGCTTGCTTTCTCACTTTGTCTCTCACTCTTTCACTCTCTGATCAAATAAATAAATAAGTTAAATAAAATAATTCTTAAAAAAAGGTAAACTCAATAGTCACAGTAAAATCATGGTGCATTTGGCAAGAGTATCATTCTAAAGGTAGAAAAAAATGATTTTACAAAATGTTTCAAATCATAGGTACTCATAGATAAGCTAAGAAAGGGCTAGACAACAAAGAACCTTCTCATATGGGGTTGTCAGAAAAGTCACGATGTATTTTTTCTGTTTTTCTATGCAAAACTGCAACATGACTTTTCTGACAACCCAATATATATAGTAAGAATGTACCTAATTTTCCTAAACCTGGAACAAGATATACATGAGTGTCTTCAAAAAAGGTGACAAAATTCACACTATAAAAAAATATGGGGAGAAAAAAACTATGCATGGCTTTCAAAATTTTTTATACTCTTATTTTAATGACATCTTTCCATGAGCTTTTTGAATTCACCTCCTATGTCTAATCTTGAGCATCACTTAATATTATGTCTTCTCTGTTAAAATATAATGAAAACACGACATTTTCTACTGCATGTGAGAGCATTATATATTCCTTGACCTCTATATTAGACAAAACCTGCTTTCTAAAATGCATTTGTAATATGCCACTTGTAGTCAAAAATAAAGATCCAATGTGAGTTAATAAGATAACAGTAAAATCCAATGGTGATTCAAGCATAATAAAGTTAGCTAGAATTTCATCAGGTATAATGTGCTAGACACTCTACATAAAACAGTGTTAAGGAAAGAGCCACAAGACATAAGCTAAAAACTAAACATCAGCTACTTACCTATGAAAACAAATAAACCTAGAGTATTTTATGAAAACAAATTAGTGAGGGAAAAAGAAATAACTCAAAAAAACCAATCCTCTAGTCTCAAAGACTAATCAATGTTTAAAATAAATTATTATTTTCTTCAAACACTTTTAATGGGAGTTCAGATACACAGCCAATACTACATTTCTTTTGCATAATAGCTGATGATTCCTTAGGAAACATTGTGACCCACCTGCTAGTTTAGTTTGATAAGCTTCTGACAGTTTAAACCGAAAACTGTGTGGATACCAAAGTCTCAATAATTCCAAATTCCAAACCCTTTTCTAGCTAGAGAATTTTGATACACGAACAACTAGAGATCCCTAAGACTTGAATTATTCACTTTATAATAAAGCTTTTTCTTTGTGAGGAGCCTTTAACTGCGCATGAGACTGAGATATATCAGAATGTGTAAACAACTGACACTACAGGCACTGCTATAGACAGAACTATTAGCAAAGTTCATTTTTCTCTTTCTAATACCCCCTTTATCAATGCCATCCCAGTCTCTAATTATCTAAATACACATTGTTTTTATTTAAACCAGTTCCATTGTCTATAAGTTCACTCTTCTCTATACAATGAAGAATTTGGCTAGTCTTTGTGTCCCCAGTTCTTGGGAAGAAGCCCCTAAACCCTTGGAATTTCCCAATGACAGGAATATCATTGCTATTCATGGTGGGCCTTGAAATTTTATGCTCATGAGGTGACTCACTGTGGGCCCCTAAATAGTTTATGCTAACAAGATGACTCAGGAGGGGCTATGTTAGAAAAAATGACCATATGATTAGAGTTAGGGCACTGAGCCAAGTGATACCACACAATCTTCGAGAAGGGGAAGGGAACTGGAGATTGAGGCCTGAGGACAATGATTTGGCTGACTATGCCTACATACTGAAACCCCAATAAAAAGTCAACAGTAAAGCTCAGGTAAGCTTTCTTGACAGGCAAATCTCTGCATATTGTCACAAATCCATGTGCCAGCAGAGAAAAGCATCCTGACTCCACAGAGAGAAGACAGAGGAAAGGTCACAGTATCATTCTAGACCTCACTGTATGCATCTCTCTCTTTGGCTGGTTCTGAATTGTATCCTTGACTGTAATAAAATTATAATCATAAGTATAGTGCTTTTCTGAATTCTGTGAGTTATTCTGAAGGTTTATTCAGGAACCCTTGAATTTTTAACCAGCTGGTGAGTATAAGGTACCCAAGGACCCAAGTTGACAGTTGGTATCTGAAGTGGGGCAGTCTTGTAGAAAACATGCTCTCAACCTGTTAAGTCTGGCCTAATTCTGGGTAGGTGGTATCAGAAGTCACTGTATACCCACCCCCCCTCAATTCATGCCTGAAATGTAGCAGTTACACAATGTGTCCTTCTCTCTTATTTCTATATATAATCTGTCACTTACACCTTCTAAACATCTTTCACAAATCTATCCATTTCACTCTAACAAAATGGCCAATGCCTTTATTCAAGTCCTTACTGTTTGGCTACATTACTGCTACAGCCTGCTGATCAGATTCCTTACCAAATCTTTATATCCATTTCCAACCCATCCCCCATACTGCCAAAGAACAGTGATTTTTATACATTTCCAAGTCATACTCCTATTGAAAACTTTTCAATGGCTTCCTGCCATCTTCAGCATGGCATACTGTGCTCTTCTTAAGAGGTAAGGAATGCCTACCATGACAATAGTCTCCTGTTAACTATGTCCCATACAAACACTCTGTAACTCCAGCCTTCCTGAACTATGTATGATTTCCTCTTACACCTTCCATGTTTGTACATGACATCTATTCTGCCTTAGGCCCTTTGCTCATCACATTTGCCTGATGAACTTCTAGTCAACTTCCAAGTCTCAGCTCAAAGCTACATGCACCTGATGTTACTCTCCACAGCAAAGCGAACTTGGTCACTCTTTCAAGTTCTGCCACCAGCACGGCACGCCATCCTCTATAAAGACTGCACTCAACACACTGCCTCTGTTATACATGCTTAGTCTTCCCAAAACCATGAGCTTCATGGGTCTGATATTTGCTCATCCTGTATCCTCTGCACTTCGTCTGTCATTTGGCACATGGTAAGTACAAATATGTTAATTACAGGGTACATCTCTTGAACGCTTACTAAGAGCTAGGTCCTGAGGATACAAAGTTACATTTGTAATTTTGGAATCACACCCACATAAATCCTCAAGAAACTTCCTAATTCAGGTCCTTTGAACACACTCCTTGGCTTCTTCTTTCTGCACTTACTGAAATTAGATTGTTTTTCCCAAATTACTGGTTTAACTATGCTACTACCTTTCTACTCAAAGAGGTCTGTCTCTCCAATGCCTACAGGAAAATGATGCTATTCTTGGCAAACACAATCTGGCTTCAAGCTATCTTTCCACTTGAATCTCCTACTAACTTATTTCATTTACTTAACATTTACACAGTACCATCATCTGATACAGTTCTAAGGCCTCATTAACTCATTTTATCTTTGCAATACCCTATAACTATTATTATTCTCATTATATAAGTATGAAAACTAAGGCACAGGGAACCAGCAGTTAGCGTAATGGCTATGTCGCTGGACTCCCACGTAGTCGACCGCGGTTCGTGTCCCGGACCCGGTGGCTTAAAACACTCATGCCGGGCATGTGTGCGTGCGTGCCCAAGATCCCGAGAGGAGAATGGAGGAGAGGGGATTGCGGCGTGACCATCCCCCCTGGGGGGTGATTTCTCGCTTTCTGTCTCTATGTCTCTCTCTGTCTGTCTGGCGAGCGCACGCGCCCTACAGTGAAAATCTCTCAAAAAAAAAAAAATGCACGTGATACATTTGAAATGACCTGTGTTGATCTGGGTTTTGTATTTGCTCCCTGTAGCTCTAGTTTCTTGGAAAAGTAGAACACCAGACCTGGCACAGAGCTGTGACTCAGAATTGTCGGGCGCCCCCCCCCTAAAGGAAAAACCCTCCAAAAAAAAAAAAAAAAAACAAAAAAAACTAAGGCACAGAGAAGTTCAGTAACCTGCTCCAGATCACAACGTTATTAAGTAAGAAAGAGATATAATTACCCATCCAGACACTCTGGATCCAGGGTTTGTGCCTTTTACCAATATGCTATGCTGCCTCCCTTACAAAACTCCAATGCGTCTATTTCCTAAACACACTTATACTTTCTCACCTACATTCCACTGCTCACATTTTTCATCCCTCTCAAGCTCCTATCATCTGAGATGTCTTTTCCAACATAAAGAAATTCTCACAATGTTGCGAGTCCCAGCCCAAATCGCACATGTTCAGGTATGAAGCCTTCCCCAGTTGCCATGTCTGTTCTGCACTGAGCTCTCAGAACATGTACAGCCTGTACGAGGCTCACCCACTGACCAACACTGAAAGCTACCTGTATCTGCCTAACTTCCCATCAAGAATGTTTCATAGCCCCTGGACCATGTCTTTAAACACCTACACATTTCCCACATGCTTTAACAAGAAATCTTACGTATAACAGAGCTAAGTACGTGTCTGATGGATTAAAAAATGATACCCTGCAACAGAAAGTGTGCTATGGAGAGAAAGACATACATAAACATAGAAAGCTGAGCCGTGTCCAATTTTAAATTCTCTAAAAGGGTTATTATAGCTGTCGCAACCTGTTTGGACCTCAATTTTCTAGTCTATCAAACTGTCAAAAGTTCATTCCAATTCTAAACTTCCGGAATTTAGATTTTAAGACAAATTTAATAAACCAGACAAATTTCTGTGGCTTCTTTATTTTCATGTCCTTTTTAAAATATATTTATTGTCCATTTTGGTAAATAATCTATCCTCACAATTCTCTAAAAAAATTAAACATAATATTTGAAAAAATATAATGCTATATTCCAGAATTACATTCTACTGATGCAGAAAATAATTTTACTAGCCCAGACAGAAGATTCGTTGCAAATACATTTTTACACTTTTTCTTAATTTAGTTTCACGGTAAATACTATAAAAGCATAGCAAAGAGTAAATAAATTGAAAAGGTCAGGTCATATTTCCAGACAACTAAATACCTTTTAAGGGGAAAAAAAAAAAACTTATGAAAACTCAAAGTATATTGAACTTCTGAAGGTTCTAAACATATTGGCTACCAGTTACAATCACCTTTGGCTAGTTAGAAGCTCTTGCCCCTTCATCTTATATGTCCACTGATAACTAGCTATGTGGGAACTTCATATTCTGTGAGGAATATAAATATGCCTTTTAGCTGATCAGTATTCTACTAGGGAAGCCACTCCTCAGAAAAGGGAAGATGGCTCTCAGATCAAAATCTAGATCCAGTACTACAAAAATTCCTTTTCTCCATTCATCGTATATCTTTTAATTTTTTTTAAAGTTTGCTTACTTCTTGATAAAGAGACAAACACATATACAGACAGAAAGATACTCTCAATAGGGTCTCATGTCTTTTTTTTTTTTTTTTTTTTTTTTGGAGAGGTTTTTGCTATAGGGCACGTGTGCTTGCCAGAAAGACAGAGAGAGACAGAGAGAGAAAGCAAGAAATCACCCCCCAGGGGGGATGGCCATGCCACAATGCCTTCTCCTCCATTCTCCTCTCGGGATCTTGGGCACGCACGCACACGCACCCAGCATGAGTTTAAGCCACTAGATCCGGAACTCGAATCACGGTCAATTACTTGGGAGTCCAGCGACGTAGCCATTAGGCTAACTGCTGGTCCCAGGGTCTCACATCTTGATCTATCATCCCAGACTTTCACAGCCAGCCAAGTTCATGGCATGTTCACCTGCTCCTAATGTGTACAGGTCAACCAGAAACAAAACTCTGATCTTCCACACGCCTTCTGGCATTGCAGAGTGTTTGAAACCACTATGCCAATGCTGCTGGGCCATACATCTTAGTTTTAATTTTTCATGTTTAAAATTGGGAATGGTTTCTAGAATACACTGTCTCCTATAGCATGCCAAATCAAAAGGGAAGAAATGTATTATAACTAAACTACAATATGATGATCATATTCTTTTTTTCAATTTTATCTGTCTTTACAATGCTAGATAAATAGAATAGCAAATCCTAAACATTTCTAAACAATATCAAGAAAAATACTTGAACGTTGCCCCATTGCAACAAAAATCAAGGGTACAGGATGACATACAAAAGAAGCTGGAAACTTTAATTAACCCACCAACAAATTCAGAAGAAATCTGAATGACTATAACCACCAGAGGAAGACGGGTATCACTACTCAGCTGTCCAAGGCATTTTTGTTTGTTTTGTTTTGCTGTGATTGAAATACATGGGGGATGAAACTGGTACTTAAAAATAAATAAATAAATAACACAAAAACCTAAGTCTGGGAAACACTAAATTTTACATTTTCTAAAAGGATCTAAAACCATTGATTTATTTTTATTTATTTATACTAGCCAGAGGGCATGTATGCTCACAAGGGTGGAGGTGGTGGGGGGAGAGAGAAAGCATCCCCCCACAATGTTGGGTGGTCAGACTATAATCCCTTCTCCTGCATCTCTACATCCTAAAAGAATTTTGGACACATACCAACATGTGTTTTTCTGCCATTTGAACCATGTGGTTGGTCATGTGTTATTCAGCTTCCTTACCCACTAAGCCATGAGAACAGTCCCATTTCTTTTTATAAATACCATAGTTAAAATAATACTGTTTTGGGGACCAGCAGGTGGCGTGGTGGTTAAGGTGCTGGACATTCCCACGTGGCCTACCATTGTTCGAGTCCCGGACCGCGTGGCTTGCTTTCTCACTTTCCCTCTTTCTCTCTTTCTCTGTCTCTCTCTCTTGTCAAATTAAAACAAATGAATGAATAAATAAAATTAAATAAATAATTCTTTTTAAAAATTACACTGCTCCTTTAAAAAAAAAGATTTAATTTTATTTATCATTATTATTACTACTTTTAAATTTGACCAGAGAGAGACACACGGAGAGAAAGAGAATGAGAGAGAGATATATATATAGAGAGAAAGCAAGGTGCCAGATTCGGAACTCAAACCACGGTCAGTCATGTGGGAGTCCAGCACCTTAACCACCATGCCACCTGCTGACCCCAAAATTAGATTGTTTCTTAACTTACTATATTATGTGCTACTATATGACACAAATTTTTGGTTTTATCAGAGGTTTTTGCCTTAGGGCACATGTGCTTGCCAGAGAGAGACAGAAACAGTGAGAGGGAGAGGGAGAAATGACCCCCAAAAGGGAATGGCCATGCCACAATCCCTTCTCCTCTGTTCTCCTCCCAGGATCTTCAGCACACAAGCACACACATCCTTCATGAGTTTCAAGTCACCAGGTCTGGTCAGCCATGTGGGAGTCCAGTGATATAACCACTATGCCATCTGCTGGTACTGATACTCAAGTTTTATTAGAGTAAATGAGTGCTTTAAATCACAACATCAGTCATTATAATGTTTCATTAAAATATTAGATCACAATAGGTAATTATATATAATTTATGTTTTCAAGTCTCTATTGAGAACCTTATTTTGTCTTTCAAATATTGTTTTTAAAGTTATAGTAAAAGGGAAATTTTTGGTAATATGTTCCCAAATAAGGTGAATCTGTAACAAATAAAGTCCATAAAAGTTTTTGAGTTGTAAGAGACAATCAAAACACCAAGGGTGAGCCAGCAGGTAATCATAGGGTTAAGGCAGCTGGATGCCACATGTCTTACTGGGCAGTTCAAGTCCTCGACCTGGTGGCTGGAAAAACACACTAGGTACATGTGCGTGTGTACCCAAAATCCCAAGAAAAGAGATTGTGGCATGGCCATGTACCCTGGAGGAGTGATTTCTCATTTTCTCTCTCTCTAGTGGGTGCATGTGCTCTTCTGCAAACTTTAATTTAAAGAAACAAAAAAGGCATTCCATGTTATTCATGTGATTTATTATCCTATTTTTAGGCACACAAGCAGTCATTTTAGTTACTCCAGAAAGGTAAAGTAAGATCACAATTTAATCTCCTTCTACCAGTCAAAGTAATGGAAGACTCTGCAGATGACTAACATGGCAAAGACTCAAAACAGTTTTAGGCAGATAGGAAGGTGGGAGTTTCCAAGTAGCATGGGAGAATTTTTAAATATGTTAAAATAAAAATGCTGGACTTAAAGGGAATCAGCCCTATGTAGGCTTTAAACTCTAAGCAAAGGGTTGAGACCAGCAGTTAGTGTAATGGCTATGTCGCTGAACTCCCATGTAGTCGACCGCGGTTCAAGTCCCGAACCCGGTGGCTTAAACTCATGGTGGGCACATGTGCGTGCGTGCCCAAGATCCCAAGAGGAAAAAGGAGGAGAAGGGATTGCAGTGTGGCCCCCTTGGGGATTACAAATCACCCCTTTGGGGTGATTTCTTGCTTTCTATCTCTCTGTCTCTCTCTGTCTGTCTGGCGAGCACACGTGCCCTATAGCAAAAATCTCTCCAAAAAAAAAAAATTCTAAGCAAAGGGCAAGCTAGAAAGAAACATTTTGATTATATCTGAGAATTATACCAAGCCTAGATTAAATGATAATCAAAATAATTATCAATTAGTGAGAAATATGTCAACTTTTAGAAAGATATTTGATCTTTTATTCTAAAAGACTGTGGATTGGGAGAAGGTGGCATAGTGGTTAAGGTGCTGGATTCCCACATGGCCAACTGTAATTCAAGTCCCAGACTTGGTGGCTTGAAACTCACTCCAGCCACATGTGCATATGTGCCCAAAATCCTGTAAAGAGAATGAAGGAGAAGGAATTGCTGCATGGCCATCCCCCCGGGAGTGATTTCTCACTTTCTGTCTCTCTAGCAAAAGCACATGCCTGGTAGCAAAAAAAAAAAAAAAAAAGCTGAAGAAAGTGACTTCAAAGACTATAGTTTCAACACTCTAAGCTTCTCTCTCTTGCCGTGAAGATGTAGCACACCTCAACTACAAATTCAAATCTAGATATTGAGGGTGTACACAAACCTTCCCCAATCTTCACAAACCATTTTCACACACACATACATACAAACTATTCCCTTCTGTCTTTCATTATTATGCAAGCAGCATTCTTATACTGAAATTATTTTAATAAATTCTCACCTTCCATGGCCTTCTAATCCCTTTGAAAAAGTCAGGCATCCACATTGGAAGAACAACAGCTTCCCTTAACAACTTCTTAGCTTCTTCCAGATCTGCTATGTCATCCCTTTGTAAGAACAGAAAAGCTTCATAATGTTTATTCAGGGACACCTTTAACACATGGTCAAACTAATTCTTTAAAATAATTTACTTATGAAATTATTACATCAAGACCATTAGTCTAATTCTTATTGCATAAAGTGACTGATGAAAATATATTATCATTATTAACTAGGACATGTTAGCTAATTAACAACCTTAGTCAGTGATTTCAACATCAAGTAAACATGTAAAATGTCCTTGATTATATTCTGACACTTCTGTCCACTTCTGACCTGTACCATCAAGTATATATGCTCATATTATGGAAGAAATCAAAATCAGCAGATCGATAAATAGCAAGAAAAGACTCCCACCAAGCCAACCTATATTCTCCTCTATTTTAATTCAAAAACGTAAAGACTCTAACCAATGAATGCTAGGATTCCTGGATACTATGTCTCTCTCAAGGGCTTCCACCAGATCTTTATCATATCCGGCACCATCAAATTTTGGAATTTCACCATCACTTGCACCATCTTGCATATTTTTCCTTCCCTGGAGATAGGTGTAAGAAAAAAAAAAAAGATACTATCAATAACACAACAATTTTAATTAAAATCAAACTTTTAAAATATAACCACCTTTAATGTAATTTTTTACCATTTTAAGATAGCACTTTCTGATTGCTCAAATGGCTTTCTCTCCTATTTGTCAGAAATATATAAACTGGTCAACTTAATTATAAACTTCTTTATCTATATTCTTTATGGGGAAAAGAGTTGCAGGTAAAACTAAATCCTTGCTAGATCCCAACAGTTTGAGAAAAATTATTTCTAAATTGGTGGCTGCAGAGTATTCCTACCATTGCTAGAAAATATTTAAAATATTAATGTAGAGGAAGAAAGAAAATTAATTTACTGAGATCCCCCTATGCAGCAAGAAATCTCATATTTATCATCTCACTTAACAATTATACAAAGTAGATATTTTTTTCCTTCTTTTTACAGATGAAAAAAATAAAACTCAGGTTAAGAAACTTAATAAAACTCATTATTAAAGACTAGGGTAGAGATTTTAACTCAGGTCTTTCTTTTTCCCTAAATCCATGTCCATACACAAAATCCGATTGCCTCATGCTTGACTAAGTCACTTAAAGCTTAAGAGTGGCTTGTATATGGCAGAACTACGAAATCCTCCCGAGCACCCAAGAAAAAGGCTGCAGATGAGGGAAGAGTTGGGACTCTATGACTGCATCTTACAAAAAGTCGTTTTTCTCTCCCACCCTAAATATCCCTTCATGATCCAGGGTTTGTCCTTAGTAAGGTTCTTAGGCTACATCACAAAATCACTGTAGTGACGATGGTAAAGTCCTTCTCAAATAGAATTTTGAATACCAATAAAACAATATGCTCTACCCCAAATTCTTCTTTTAACAATATGGTGGCTTTAAAAAAATAATTATATGTTATGATTTTCATGGGGTTCTGCCAAGTTTTACTCAGTTTTAAAGTGCTTTAAATGAGACACCTTCAGCCAGATAGTTCAACTGAACTACCTCAGTAGGCAGTCAAGTACCTACCTAGATCTTTGGCCCCACAATAGCTAATATTTTAAAAAGGGAGGAGGGGGGAACCAGCAGTTAGCATAATAGCTATGTCGCTGGACTCCCACGTAGTCAACCGCGGTTCGCGTCCCGGACCCGGTGGCTTAAAACTCATGCCGGGCGCGTGTGCGTGTGTGCCCAAGATCCCGAGAGGAGAATGGAGGAGAAGGGATTGCGGCGTGGCCATCCCCCCGGGGGGTGATTTCTCGCTTTCTGTCTCTCTGTCTGTCTCTGTCTGGCGAGCGCACGCGCCCTATAGCGAAAACCTCTCCCCCCAAAAAAAGGGTGGGGGGATGGTCAAAATGAAACTTTAATTTGAAAAGCAACAATAGATCAGTATGAACTTCTCCCATCCACTTCTTCTGAGATGACAAAAGACTCATTCGGGAGTGCTGAGGGGAGGCTAAATAGCTCCCCTGACAGACAGGCCACTTCTTTTAGGCAACTAAGTACATCACCAAGCAGTATTCTGGTGTTACGGTCCCCAAATAAACAATTTACTGCTTTGGATAGTCTGGCAGCTGTATTAAACTAAATTTACAGTAAGACTCTTGCATTTCCAATGACATATATCAATACCGACATATTAAAAAGAGGACATTTCTGACATATGTATACAATAAATATAACATCAACAAATTTAAAATAAGGTCAGCCTAGAATCACATTTTATAGTTTAGATAGACCAAGGCTAAAAAATCACATTCAAAGATCACTAGGTATACTTGGTAATCATTTTAAAATCATTCTAGGGAGACCAGCAGTTGGTGTAATGGGTATTTTGCTGGACTCCCATGTAGTTGACTGCAGTTCAAGTCCCAGACCTGGTGGCTTAAACTCACACTGGGCATGTATGCGTGTGTGCCCAAGATCCCAAGAGGAGCATGGAGGAGAAGGAATTTGCGGCATGGCCATCTCCCCTAGGGGGTGATTTCTCACTTTCTGTCTCTGCTTTCTGGTAGGCACACGCGCCCTATAGCAAACCCCCTCTCCCCCCAAAAAAATTCTAGAAACAAATTGATTAAAGAATAAAACATGGGACCAACAGATGCCATAATGGTTATGTCGTTGAACTCCCATGCAGTTGACCACAGTTTGAAACTGTCGCTCAAGTTCCAGACTGGTAGCTCAAAACTCATGCCAGACGCATGAGCATGTGTGCCCAAGCAGTAAGTAACTATAATTCATTTTCTGTCTTCATCAGGCAATGTAGTACAGTGGAAAAAGAAATAACAAAAATGCAAAAATCATTCATAAACTGTAAAGTGCTGTGCAAAAAAGTGTGCAGTGTGGCAAAAAGGTGTAAAGCAAAAGAAAGAGAATGGAGAGATGGAGCAGTTTGGATTTTATTCTAAATGAATGAAATGACACAATTTTTAGATGAACCTTCTGGTTCTATACAGAGAAAGGATGGAGTGGGGCCAACAAGATGGCTGACTACAGGTATCTAACATTCATTCCCCTTACACACAAAAAGATCAAAACCATGAATAAACAACTAGATTTCAATTAGAGTAACTGAAGGAGAGTACTGGAGTATAGCAGGGGAGTGGCAGAGAACCTGTGGAGCACAAACACTTGAGACAAGAATGAAACACCTAGCCTCTGTTACCCATACCTTCAGTTAGAATCAGTTCAGAACGAGGATAAACTTCTTCCTGTGGGGAAAATGTAGACAACAGGCCCTCTAGCAGCCCTTACTGATGCAATAGAAACCTAAATCTTTTTTTTTCTAAGAATTATTTGTTTATTTAATTTCATTTGTTTTGTTTGTTTGTTTGTTCTTTAATTCAACCAGACACAGAGAGAAAAAGTGAGAAAGCAAGCTGCCAGGTCCAGGACTTGAACTGTGGTTGGAAACCTACAATCTTCCTGCTGGAAAATCTTGCAGTTCTCACAGGATCTGAGACCCATTTAGAGAACTGCAAGGCTATATTTCCCCAAAGAAGAAGACTACACTGTGCTCCCTCCCTTTATTGTATCATCTTGACACCAAAATCACTGTTAGATGCAACTTGCTCAGGGACCAGTTAACCTCTGCCATCTGCCCATCCCTGAGGTTCTTTTTCTTTTTCTTTTTTTTTTTTGGAGAGATTTTCACTGGGCGCGTGCGCTCGCCAGACAGACAGAGAGAGACATAGAGACAGAAAGCGAGAAATCACCCCCCAGGGGGGATGGTCACGCCGCAATCCCTTCTCCTCCATTCTCCTCTCGGGATCTTGGGCACGCATGCACACGCGCCCGGCATGAGTTTTAAGCCACCGGGTCCAGGACGTGAACCGCGGTCGACTACGTGGGAGTCCAGCGACATAGCCATTACGCTAACTGCTGGTTCCCAAGGTTCTGTAGCAACTACAGTATATTCACACATGGCAGCACACCATTCCTAGCTCAGCTGCAACAGTTTCCTAGCCAAATGAAATAAAGTGCCTAGGAGATAGAGATACTCCATTTTCCGTATCTCAGTGGCTGCAGTACCCCAATTCTAGTTACTCAGAGCCTATGCCCGGCAGGACAGCCATGACTCTGGTACCCACATGGTGCCTTACTCCCATGGTACAGGTAGGTCCTGCTAAGTAGGGAGATTACACCCACCTGGAGGACCAGCTCATGTTCACTCTCTCAGCACATGGAATAGCCTAACTCCCTTGTCCTCAGTGAGGAGGTGTATCTGACCCAAAGGAGCAGCACCCCACGCATTCTTAGCTAGAGACAGTCCAATGCACCATCCCCAGTCCTTTAAAAGGCCATGCCCAACAAAGCAGAACAGTTACACAAACTCTGTAGCCTCTGAGGCATGCACAGGTATCACTGTCGACTATATCTGAAGAAACTGCATGGAGATTACACTACTGTGCCCACCCAGCACTGAAGCTAATCATGCTACATAGCTAATAAACTAGGACAAGGGCCAGCAGGTGTCCTGGTGGTTAAGGTGCTGGACTCCCCATATGGCCGACTACAGCCTGGTTCCTGGACCTGGCAGTTTCCTTTCTCATTTTCCCTCTGTCTCTCTTTCTGTCCCTCTCTGGTGACTACAGCAAATTAAAATAATAATAATAATAATAAATAATAATAATAATAATGAAAATTAAATAATTAGTTAAAAATCTAGGACATTTCTGCAGGTAAAAGGCCTTTCCCTATGAAAAACCACTCTATAAAATTAAAAGAGGTGACCTCTCCATCAGATTCAGATATCCATGCTGAACACAATAAACATAAAAAAGCAAGGAAACATGACACTGTCAAAGAAAAATAAATAATGAATTCTTCAGTGACTGACCTTAAAGAAATGAAAATTTATAAAGTTTCCGAAAAGAATTTCAAAATAATGAGCTTAAGGAAACTTAGACAATTCAGTGAAATTGGAAAAATAATCTATGATCTAAATAAGAAATTCAATGAAGATATATATATTATGAGAAATCAAGAAATAGAAATCTCAGAACTAAAGACTTTAATAAATATAAAAATAAAATTGAAAGCTTTAAAACTAAACTAGATCAAGCAAATAAAAGAATTTCTGAATTAGAATATGGGTGTTTTAAAATAACCCAGTCAGAGGGGGAAAAAGAGAGGGAAAACAAAGGGTAAAAAAAGCCTATAGGCTGGGAACCAGCAGTTAGCGTAATGGCTATGTCGCTGGACTCCCACGTAGTCAACCGTGGTTCGTGTCCCGGACCCGGTGGCTTAAAACTCACGCCGGGCGCGCGTGCATGCATGCCCAAGATCCCGAGAGGAGAATGGAGGAGAAGAGATTGCGGCGTGACCATCCCCCCTGGGGGGTGATTTCTCGCTTTCTGTCTCTATGTCTCTCTCTGTCTGTCTGGCGAGCGCACGCGCCCTATAGCAAAAACCTCTCCAAAAAAAAATAAAAAAAAAAAAAAAAAGCCTATAGGCTGGGAACCAGCAGTTAGCGTAATGGCTATGTCGCTGGACTCCCACGTAG